ATAGTAAAAATAGATGGAATGATAAAGCTGATAGCCTTGTGAAGAAGGGAACACTAAGCAAAAAAATAATTTTTCCAAAAGAAGTCAGCTATGAAGAGATAGAGTACTACCTAGAGTAGGAAAACAAGCAGATGGACATACTTGCAAGACTTCTATGTAAAATAGTAACAAACACCAGACTGGGAGTAGAGTGGAAAGAAACAATAGTGATCAAGAATATTGAGCCAGAAGAAGAACTAATGATATATGATTGGACGTACTTTTGGAAAAGACTAAATTCATCTAAAGAAGTACACTTTCTAACAAGAAGAAGCAGTACAAAAAGAAGTGCTTTTATGAAATATATTTTGAACAAACTTCCAACATTAGAAGAACTTAATAGAAGAAGACCAGATATATATACAATAGCTAAATGCCAAGTTTGCTAAAGCAAAGTTAAAGAAATACAAGAACACTTGGCATCATGTAAGGAACAAGCAAATTTATGGAAAAGGATACAGAAAGTATCTATCGTGACAGCATGGAACAGCTTAAAAGAAGAAAAAAAAATACAAGTTCCATCTTAAGTATTATATACAGTACTTTTTGGACAAACAAAGCGAGAAGAAATAAAAATAAAGAAAGCACTAATCAAAAGCCTAATCTCAAAAATGATGCAAGACAGGTTATCTTGAATCTTGAGTACGAAAACAAGACAACATTTCACAAACACATTGGCAGAAACAACATGAAATATATTTTACGAACAGGTTTGGAGAATTTGTTGCGAAAAGGTCAATGCATAGAAAAAAAAAAAGGAATAACAAGTAAAGAGAAAAAAAGAAGATTAAAGGGAAAAGGAAAGTCAAGTATAAAGAAGAAAAGAAAGGCTAATCAGCAAGCAATAGAAGAAAGGAAAAAGAAAACAGAAGAAAAAGAAGAGTGAATAAAGAAAGAAGTTAGGAAGACAATTAACAAGCTTGTCATGAAAGAGGGAAGACCCTTTTATTATGGACTTTAAGTAGCTAGACAAGCAGCTTACTTTTGCTAGAAGTAATGTGACAGGTTGCACTTAGGTGCTATTAGAGTAGCTGGGTGATGCTAGGCTTAGTTGTTAGATAAATTTATGTAATTACAGTAGTAGTTTTAAAAATCTTAATAAAGCACTAGCGTAACTGCTTAAAAAAAAAAATTTTGATTGTGCACAGAAGAATGATGATTAAAGTATCTATTACAGTTTGGTTCAGGACAATTGTGCATTATATATTTATGCAATGTCACAAGTTAACTAACATCTAATACATAATATAATTAAAATAATATGATTGGTTAATTTAATGAAAGTCTATCGCTAAAATACCAGTTTAGCACTAATATTAACTGTATTACAGTATTAACTTTAAAGTTATGTTAGACAGATATTATTATGCTTTTAGATTTGTACTACCATCAAATGCATGTATATAAGAAAAATTTTAAAGATTTGAATTAGCTTATTCAACTTTTTTTTTTCTGACTGCTCTAAAACTTGTAAAAACTTTAATACATAGTGTTATTCTTTATTACAGAACCATTTCATTTTAAAAAAATTTAATGATATACAATATACTAGTTGAATGACAGATATCTCAGAAGTCTTGTTTACTGCACTTATTGAAAAAAAACTTTTACCCAACTATATTGAACCTAATCTACACATTTGTGTCTAAATTAAATAGCCAAGCAACTTGAAGCAAAGGCATATGACATTCAACAAAAAATTCAACATGCAATGGTAATGAATTTGACAAAGCAGTGCAAAAGAAAAACTAGCCAACATTACCAAAAAATTATTCAAATTATTAAAAAGTAAGTGCAAACTCAAAATTTAAAAATTTGTCTATTATGAAGTTGACTTTTCTATTATATCAGTTATTCAAAAAAGATATATAATAATTTGTTAAACAATTATCCTAATTTATTGTTATTAACTATTAAAGTAAACTAGAGGTATGTAATACAAACCTATGTTTTTAAGAGTTTAACTTCAATAATTAATACAACTAAATAAAAATTATGTAGTAAAAATTATGTATAATCTTAATTGCTTAAATCGAACTCTGGTATTTTCATATTTCTTGTTATCATTTAGCAGAAGTAGCTAACAATAACTATTACTATAGCCTAATATCCAAAAATATATTAATAATTTACTCATTAATAATATCTCTGCATAGTTACCTTACTGAGATAAATCATATATCAATGTGATCTTTTCTATGCTTAATACCAAGCATCTACAAATTTATGCATTCTAGCATTATACTTTTATACAAGTTAATCACTAATAAAGAATACAACTATGAGAGATGAGACATCGAACTTAAAGGACAGGTATATTCGATAAAAAAACAGTTTTTATTCTGATCAATTTTAGCAATTCACATTGGGATTTGTCAGTGTTATAAATATACAAGCATCAACAAATTAAAATATAGAATTCGCTATGTGGGCAACATATACAGAAAATCTATCAAATCAATATTTGTGAGATGAATATAGAGATAAAAATTAAGGCAAAAATGTTAAGACCATATTAGTATATAGTCAGCTAACATAACATAAATTTGTATACAAATTCAAAATAAAAAAGTAGCTTTACACTATTGAAATTGTTAAGTATTTTACTATCTATCAAGTTATTAGTTTAGAAAAAAAAAACAAATTTATAGATAAAAATAAAATTGTAATTAATAAAAAATATTAATAAATTATTTATTTTAAATATTTTTAGAATCAAGGATTCAAAGTTCTAATAACATAATTGAATTGCATAAAATTATTGAAATATATTAATATAAGGTAATAATTTATTGAAAATATTTCTAGTTTTATAATTATATTGATATATTAACTCAGATAACTGATATACTTATAAAGCAATGATGATAATTAATTTTAGAATGATATATAAGTGAAGAATTTTTTGTTTTATAGTCTTGTTAATTGTTACTATTAAACTATGAACAAAAAAAAAAATAAAAAAATCAGTCCATCTTTTAATCTTTCCTCTTTACAATGACCAAAACGATTATTGACTGAACAAGGTACAATGAATAATAAAAAAATATTAACAAATTCACCTCGAACTTCGTTGCAATCAAAATCATCTGCTTTAACTACACTATTGACTAATTCTCTTTGAGTTTCATTGCAATCAAAATTACCTACTTTAAACACCTTAACTATGCTATTACAATCATTTATATCAGCAAAAGCAATCATATCATCTCAAACAGCACAATCAACTGCATCAACACAATTGACAAATTTAAACAACTTATTGCAGTCCATTTCTTTAACTAAAAAAAGAAAAGCTAATGTAGTAACTTCTAACTTTCCTATGACTACTACTAGCAATAAGTTTAGCAAACAATTATTTATGAGTTTTGTAAGTTTTATTTGGGTTTATTTTTTTTTTTTTTTAAAAAAAATACTTAAAAATATGATGATTCTTTTATAATTTAGCTCTAAGTCATTGTCGACTTTTCTTCTTCTACTGTTCTTCATGATGAAAATCCAGGTTAATATGTTTATATTGTTATTATATATTTTATCTTTTAATATATTGACTAATAATGTATTATTTATTAGTGCTACCACCTGTTGATTTATAAACTCTGTCAAAGATTTTAAGCATTAGACAAAAAAAGCTTTATCCAAATTGAACATATAACTAGAAGACAAGCTAAACTTGAATATCTTATTACTAAACAATGAAAGCAGCTTAAACAGGTTCTTGAAAAGTTGAATAATACTGAAAGAATACATAATCCTGCTATGGGCAAAAGAAAAAAAAAAAAATAGAAGAAAATGGCAGATAATTTGTTTCAAGTAGTTGCTCTTTAACTTATTAATTAGATTTAATTTTTGTATTATTCATCTATGTATTTATTACATGTACTGTAGGAAGCAGTTAGAAAACTTTCATATAAATTATTTTATGACTATAAGCAAATAAGTGATACTGAATGAAAGTGTGACTTAAAAATAAGTTAGAAAACAATAAAAATTGTGCAGAACACTTGCACCTTTTAGAAGAAAAAGAGTTTTCATTCGAAAGATTGTGGCATAAAAAATTATATTTGGATGTCAGTATTTTTTAATAATATTACATGTAACATATATATATAATCTTTAATAATGTTACATGTAATATATATATATTAACTTTGTTTATACATAGATGTTAGCAGCAAATCGTCTGAAAAAAGAGTATTATGTTCATCATATTAAGGAAGGACTTTGGGCTACCTTTGGCATTAGTAGAATTAAAACATTCAATGAACACAATACAAAAGACCAAATGAAACAATGGAAACAGAATTCTAGAAAAGCTTATGAAGACTTATATAATCCGAATGATCCAACTAATCCAAATTCTGATACTTTTCTTGCTTCAATTATACAGTACATTTTTGTTTCTGAAGATGAACAAACTTATATAAATGCTATCTGGACCCAAGCAATATTGGAAATTATCTTTGATGAACATTATCTTTTTGCCAAAATTGATTCTAAAGTTATTAATATTTGGTTCCAGAAGCTTTTAAATAAAAATAACATGGTAATGTATATTTATTGTATATAGTAACCAATAAATCAGTATTAGTTACTATACACCTAATACTAATTATTTTATTAATTGTCATTTGGTTATTTTTTCTTTTATTTTCTTGAAATTTTTTTAATTTTTAGAATATGGAAATTACTTACAATGAATCTTATGAATCAAATGAAAATAACAATAATGAAAATAATGAAAATTTGTCTGAATTATACCATAAAAGTGACCAAAGCGATAGTATTGATAAAGATTATAATGGTAATGATAACAATGATATTAAATAGAAGCAGAAAATAAGGATAATAAATAGCTATAGAAGGTTGTTTTACTTGAATAGTTATAGTTATATAACTTACTGTTTAATAAATTAGTTAATAGCATATTATTAGTTTACTAGTTTATTAACACATTAGCCAATAAATTTGCAAGTTTTTTTACTATATTAATTAATAAAAATAATTGTTTAATACATTATTCTGAAGTGTTTAAACAGTATTAATTAAATTTTTTTGTTATTTAATACAATAAACTTTATTGTTAAACATGTTAACTAATTAAAATTAGTTGTTTAATATTAATTGTTTAATATAGTTAGTTTGTATAGGATTCATTTTCTTACACTATTTTAGCATTAAATAACATTATGTGTAAACTAATGCTTTTCAAATGCTTTTGAAACTTCCTGATGAACTTTGTCTAATTTGTAATCAGATTCTAAAAATAGATTAAATTATTTAATATATATAAATAATCATATATTTATTAACTAATATATATATATTGAAATTTATACTTTAAGTTTTAAAAGATCTGATTCAAGAAAAAATTCTTTTTGGCAAAATAAATATATTCTATTTTAATAATAATAAACATTAACTAGTATACTATTATAATGCTTAATGATATTTGTTTTTATTAATGCTTTGTGATGTTTTTTAATTAGACTCTTAGCAATAAATAGAAATTTTTTCATCATATTATGATTCTCATTAGCTATAAACTGCTTAATGTTTTTTAGACCTTTACTAAAAATTTTTAGTTTTGGAAATCTTGAAAGTCTTAATAAATATTGATTAAGTTTATTGATAGCAGCCTTTTTACATAGTTTTTTTAGCATCTTTTTTGTATATATTATTTGATATTTAAATAGTCCTAAATCTAAATGATGCATTTTATCTGGAATTGTAGCTAAGTAAATGTTTAGTTAGCTAAAATAAAAATAAAAAACATTAATAAAAATAAATATACACTGGTCAAAAAAATTATATTTTAACTAAATAATATCTTGACTATATATAGACAAATAATAACTTAACTATTAGATAAGATATATTAATGTATTTACTACTGTAGTTATTATTTGTCTATATACAGTATTACAAGATATTATTTAATTAAATATAATTTTTTTAACCAGTAATATATTACTAATAAAAAAATTAAACATATATATATATTGAATAGTATTTAAATAATGCTATTGAGGGACGCAAATCATTAACTCTTTCCGACGATCACTTGTACCAAAATTCTCTGATAATAAACTGGCAATAACTCAATAA